AATGCAGAATGCACATCAGAAATACATTTTGGAAGTGGAGGTAGGACTTTCCTTCTCCTGTCGGTACGCATATTTCTCCGAATACAGTGAACATCATGGCTGCTTAACAATATCTGAATGATGAGCTGCAACTATAGTCAGTTCTTTCCTGATTAATTTCTGAGGTTTTTCAGATGTATCCTTCCGCTGCCTTTCTGTTTTTAACACCGTTTGAAACAACTTGTCTAGAAATAGTCTTGCAACGCTCATGATTATGACACAGATAAGATTTTGATAACACGTTATTTGTCTTATCAACCTGTACAATGCCATTTTTGGTACTCTGCTTCTGTGGTACTTGATTTTTGGTACCACAGTCCTTTTAAAATTTATGTCCTGAAAAAAGAACGAGAATTTTTCCTCTCTGACTGCGAATAAACTCCATCATAGGTAAATATGCTTAAATAACGCCAATTTTAATTCAAGGTTGAATTTATAACATAAGCAAATATATTTTTCACCAAGATAGTCAAAGAATCGTTCGGAACTGATTGAAAATTTAGCTATTTAAGGAATATACACTGACTTCCGGTTTTAGGGTTGAAAAAGGTCAGAGCCAATAGTTGTGCTCATGAAGAATGCCTTGTAGCCCCACATGTTGTTACAAAGATGAATTTATTGCCTGCAAGAGTATTACGAAACCTTCTGCAAGTCCTCTGAAAATTTCTTTTGTGTTACAGAGCAACTAACAAAAGTAAAACTAAAGCGATATATAAAAGAAATTAAACAACAAAAAGAAACGATTTTTCACAGACAATTCAGTGTTTCTCATCAATTAATTCAGTTCTTACTTCACGACACAAGGCAAAATACATAAAAACTCAAAATATCTGTATTAAAAATTACGAAGTAAATCTTAAACACTTATTTCCTGGAATAAATTCCAGAAAGGATTAAGCATGACTTAATTCGCAATAATAATAAAAGAAGGCGTTATCTTTGTTGTTGCCGAAGCTTTAGTTTCTCTAGATTGGCAACAAATCCACTATTCATTTTATAAAAAATATATTTCTTTATTTTTATTTTCCTCTTGGCTACAGTTGGCTTCGAAAAATAAAATTGTAACCCTATAGGCAAGGGGGGAAAGAAATTTTGATCGGCGCAGTTGGACTATAGCAGGACGAGGGGGGGATTTTCATCAGCGCATTTGGAGTACACCCATAAATTTTATTTACAAAATCAATTACAAAATCAGTCTTATAGAGTTTCAACAGTCACAGGAATAGTTTATTCATATGAAACATAAGCACCTCTTTGAACAGGGTTCGTACACATTTCCTTACATGAAAATTAAGGACTTTTAAGGACCATCAAAGAAAAAATTAAGGGCCTATCAGCAGACAAACAAAAACAAAACAAAAAAAAAAAAAAAAAAAAAAAAAACGAATAGAATGAAGCAATTACCCATTTATGAAACTAACAGAAGTGCACTATGCACTATTAATTAAGTTCAATTTAATACTTAACATAAAACAATTTAAAAAAATTAAACTAACTCCCTACAAGTTATGAAATAGATAACATTAAATTAGGAACATAATTTCTTAAAAAACATGTACAAGTGTATTTTAGCACTAATAACAGTCACACGATATTTTAGAGATTTACATGATTATTATTTAACTTTTTTGATATTTATTTAAACACAGTCAACTACTATTAAAATTCACAATGTAAGAATGTTTTGCAGATTAAAATAACAGATTTGAAAACATACAATTTATTTCTTTGGTTTTTGAAAGATACTAGAATAATAAACTTTACAATAAAAGATACAAACACATTTATACTTTGCTTTAAAATCTGAAATTTTTTCAGATATTTTAACATCTAATTTTATTTATGTCTTTTCCCTTTTCTTAACTATTCTTTCTAAGTTCATTTGCTTTGATAAACAAATCAATGTTCCTGCTGGTCTCGGCTTCATCTGCTAAAAGCATCTATCGAAGCTGCTGCTGATCTCATTTCTTTATTAATTTCGATATTAAGAATATTTCCAGAAAATTTTATGTAAACAAATACTGTGCATTGAGAAATGTATGATGAGTCACTTAAATTTTCAATTTCAATTGCTTTATTTACAGAGAAGCCTCTTTCCCCAGAGGCCTGTCCATGTGACAAGATAAGAATAATTTTCACTATTTTCCATACTTTTTTTTTACAATAGTGAAAATCATGAAAATAAGAATTGAGAAATGTGTCAAGAGATAGATTTTGAGGATCAAAAGTAGAAAATTCATGTAAATTTGTCTTAACTACTTTATCTAGAACCTCTCCGAACTGCAGCAGAATTTCATCACAATTTTCTTGTAAAACACGTCTATTCCGCGTTAATACCGTTAGAACTATTTTCATTTTGTTCTGGGCTTTTTGCCATCAACTGTGGGTCTATACAAGATACATTTCGAATAAGAGAATAATTTATTGGACATTTAGCCATTAAGTGTTGTACCATTGTTAAGACACATTGTTGACCTTGTTTCAATGCAAAACTTGCAGCTTGTGAAATATCCTTCTTGCGGCTTTTTTCATTCATTAACTGCTCAAATAAACTTTACTTTTATCATTATAACAATTTGGATCATTAAATTAAATTTATAAAGATTTTCTGCTTTAGTTATTTTTGAATATTCTAGTTTCAAAATTTTAAAGTGCTAAAAGCAATCATTTACAAGTTTTAAGATATCTTCAGCAAAAAAAGGGAATAAGTGGTTTATCGCTTTGATAAAAATTCACGGAAAGGCAATAATATTTTTGACAGAGAGAGAAAAAAAATTAATTTTATAAGAAATGTTTTATCCTTAGTTGCCTCCAAAATATTTGAGATGGATTTCAATGAATTTTTTTTAAATTGCCCCATTTAAACTTTTATAATGTATAGTAGCAAGTCATCCCATATTTTAATGGCTCTTTCAACTGCTGGGACATTTTGCAACCATCGGTAAAAGCAGAACTTCACAGCAGAAAATTTTAATTAAAACATTATTTCTTTATCTATCAGATGATGGAGCAAAGATAAAAATTCTGCAATAGTTGGTTTTATTGTTAAACAAAAATGTATGAATTTTTACTACGCATTATATTTTAACATTTAAAAAATATCCTGTATCGATAAAAAATTGCGACATCGCGAAATATTCTAGGCAAGCATTTCCTGCAGAGATTCCGTTATGTATAAATACCACTAAAATTGCCATAAGAATGCTATATTGGCAATACCATGAACACATTTTCTCCTCCGTGTAAGCAACCATTCCGCTTATTCGGTCATTTTCTTTTTAATTTATTAATCTTCCATTTCTTTTATTTTTTCTTTATCATTTCAACATTGACTTTTTATTCAGGATTTAGCTTTTATTTTAATTTCCTAGTTATAAATAGGTGAAATTAGCTTAATAACAAAAGATAATTTCAATCATTATCACAATGAAATTTTATATCGACCAGCACTATTTGGATAACTGATGTGATATTAAAGCAGCCTTGGCAATGACATTCTTCTGAAAGCAGTATTCGGTTGATCTTTGGATTACCCCGTTTAACTACCCATCGTATATGTCCCGTTTAATGCTCATCATAAAGTCGCCAAAAGTAGCCAAATCCCTTATGCAACGGATACCTTGCGCATAGGATTAAACTAAATACTTAATTGTCTATTGAAACGTATTTCCGAACTTCACTTTTTTTTGGCTAGCGTTACCGAATTTGCCCTTGGCGACCTAAAATCGAAATGGAGCCAACAGATTTCCCGCGAAACGATAACAAATCCAAACAAGAAATAAACTCATAATCCCGATATCTCATACATATATGTGCAAAAAATAAATAAATAAATAAATAAATAAAATCAAAATAAAATAAAATAAATAAAAATAAACTCCGTAGAAAGTGATAAAAAATTAATTTATGGCTTAATTCAAACAAACACAGAAATTAAGATAAGCAAAACCGTGTAAAAACAAATTGAAATGATAAAACGAAACTTTGCTTTCACGTGAATTTTCAGCGCTGACTCTCCCATTCTAGAAATTTCAATTTGTTTCAGACAAAGACCACATTTAGCTTTATAAGGATTGTCATCCATCAATATCCAGTCTTTGTAGTCCACTTGATGAAGCAACAGTTTATTGAAAATGCACTTTCCAGGCATCTCGTTCCTATTGGCGTCGGAGGGGTTGTGGCTTTCCAGGTTGGAATTGTTCTAATTTTGGCAAATATTTTCAGAATCCCCCCCCCTTTTTTTTTCCTCGAGCACCTTCATCATCACTTTCGCCTCTTAAAGAACTTCCGGCTTCACGCTTTCATCACAATCTGCCTAAATTTATGGATAACACCTGTTTCGAAAGACTGAGTAAATAGCCAATCAGACCCCGATACTTTCATTCTAGGCTAGGTAATTAATTTTTTATCGTTTGCAACGCAAATCCGCCAACAGATTGGTTAAGAGTCGTGTAATTTTAATTTCCATATTCATGAGAAATTCGCAATTCACACTTAGAATGGCAATCATTAGATGATAAGAAATGTCAAATGAGCAAAATTAAGGACCGTTTATTCATTTTGACAAAAATTAAGGACTTTTAAGGACAAAAATCATTTTTGAAAAAATTGAGGACTTTTAAGGACCGTACGAACCCTGTTGAAGCAATAAAAACTGAATCTGGAGTTTCTTTAATATAAATATATCAAATTAAATAACGGAATTCACTACTTTCATAAGGTTCAACCAATACTCTAAATACTGAAAGACAATATAAATAAAATATTTTATTTCTTAAATTTATATGTACTAAAATTCAAAGTATAGCATCCTCGTTTTTTGAAGAACAAAATTAACTGATTTTCATAATTTTTATATACCTCATAAATAGTTTAAAACTATAAGTTACTGCTGGAATAAAATTTTCCGGAATATTTTAAGTAAAGTTAATTAACAAATTTTAGTAATAAAATAAAGGCCATTTCTGAGGAATTTTTATTCATTTATTAAATACTTATGTGTGCTGGTCCAAATACGTTTCATTAACATTTTATGAAGCGTGTAGGACACACGTCAGAACAACTATAAAACTACTAACATGCATTTATAACACGCTGACTTTGTCAAATATTTCAGATTCCATTTTGATGGCGATAAGTACAATCATTTAATCACAATTAGAAGTAAAGAAAGGATTCACAACTACAGCATGATTATAAGTATTTACAGGAACATTTAACAGCCACTTTTAATGGTAACGCACCTGCGATCATTAATTATCATACATTTTCAGTCACAAGTCTGAATGATAACAATAAGATTATCATTTTTTATTAATTTTGCTCAGAAATCTTGTCAATGCCTGGAATAAGATCCTAACAGTTCTTTATGCATTTTAAAGAAATCTCTAGAATAGCATTTTCCCGGACAAAGACATGGTTATATGAGAGAAAATCCTACAAGAAATTTTTATGTTTGGAATTCTATTCACAGCTGAAGTTGAAGTGGCTTCTCTTATTTATTAGCGTTATCTTGCACATACAGAAAATATTATTTACAGGAAGTGAATGACAACTATCTTTTCAGGCGAACATTTATTTTTTGGTTATTCCTGGTTCTGCTGCTCACGGAATTCCTTTTTCGAATTTGAAATTTATTGTTTTTAGATAAAAATACCTTTTCTTGAAGAACTGCATCAAAACAGATCAATCGAATTACCCATATGCACATTTCAAATAGGACATACGTATTTTAATGTGTTTAGCATTTTTTCATCTAACGCCTTTTCTACGATCTTTCTAAAAAGCAGAAGATACTTGCTTGAAGACATATGCCTATTTTTTTTTATCCCGAAGTGCCTGATGAAGTATAATTCTGCACAATTCAACAGAACACAGTGCTCTACATACGAATTGTTTTTTCATTACTTTTCACTACTGTATTGTATCTTTGCCTCCTGTGCATTTCATTCTCCTCTGAACATTAGTACTCACATTGAAAACACGAAAAGCTTCAGTTCAACTGCGAATAAGCTTTTATCAAAGCCATTTCAGAGGAGGCAGTCTGATGAATCATTATCAAACCTCGACAGCAATCCACATTTTTTACATACGGCATTCCTTCTCTTTTGGGTGGGCGTTTTCTTGTGTACAGTCCACATCACTTGAGGAAAGCTGTTTCCACCTTCTCCTCATCACGTTGTTCTTTTTGGTCTTCAGATCGGTTCTTTAGTGGCAGAGAAGTCTTCTGCAGCAGAGCGAACCGCATTCGACCCGGAGGTGTGAAGCCTGATCCATTGGGCAGATCGGGAGACAATGAAGTTGAAGTGGTCGAACCTAGCATCCGAGAACAGCGGGAACTGCGGTAAGATCTTCTGGGAGATCGCTTCAACGTGGATCTAGCGTAAGCAGTCGCCAGCACAGTTTGTACCTATTGGAAAACGAGAGCATTTTGTAGTTTATAAGAGAAAAAAATGAAACATAAATAATTTTTTATAGATTGCCTGGTAAGGAATTTTCGCACACCCAGCATCCCCTTGCTGGGTGTGAGATGGCTGCTTATGGCTATATGGATAGCTTATGGCTATCCATATAGCCATAAGCAGGCTATATGGATTAGAAATGGTCCCTTACAGAGAAAGCTAAATTTCTAGAAATAAGAGATTATAGCCAGTGCGTCTACAGGAAATGGAGTAGCCAAAATTTAGGCTCACTGTTCAGAGTCTGAAATGTCAGCACGATGTTCCGCAATTGACTTGATAAATAAATGCAAATTTTTGTGCAGTGAATAAATGAATATATCTAGTATCTTGAATAAATGCATACTATTTTAAATGGATAAATGGTAATCGCTTTTCATTAAAAAATATGGCATACCCTGAAAACAAGCCCTGAAACTAATGAGTCTTTTGGTGCAAAAATTAATATAAGACCCGGTTTTGTTATTGAAGAAATGCAGTAGTAATTGAAAGATCCATGGTTCAAAAACCTCGCAAGGGCATAAATTGCTTCTCATGTCTCCTGGCACACAACTATATAACAGACTCTGAAGAGTTTCATCAGATCAGTTCTAAAATCAGTCGCTAATAAATGCATAAACGTATTTAACATTGCGTTGAACAAAAACAATTTCTTTCGAAAATAATTGGTTGTTCCATATGGGTGGAGTTAAATACAAACAGCGAAATTCAAACCTTCCGGCTGTAAGAAAGAATTTTAAAACAATAAGGGGGGAGGGGAACCCTCTTTCCAAATTTTGAAAGAGAAAAGGGTGAACGATGAAAGCGCTAGAAATTTTCAATAGGAACTACAGATTTCGAGCAGCCATTTGTTTATCTAAAAATCAATACAAATCATTTTATGCGGGTCTAGTATTTTATTGTTTGTTAGAAAGATTTTGCTGTTTTTACGAAGAAAAATCTGAACACGTTTTTGTTGAATAATAATAAAGCTTGCAAGATTGGCAGCATATTTAGGAACTAATGAAATAAAACAAAGTATCATACAACTCAAATATTTATTCCTTAATAATATAACCATCATGAAGAGATTAAAAATTGCTTTTTGGCTTACTTTATACAAATTCTCTCTTTTTAATATAATTCTCAAAAAAGGAAACTTGTTGAGCCATTAGGTTATTTTGAAGCATGAGTCGTGAAAATTGCGCAATGCCCTCCCCGGGACTCTGAACCCTGGGCCTTTCATATATGCTTACAATTACACCAAAAGGTATGCGGAAAGGAGTGAGAAAATGCCTTACATACTCCCCCCTTTTAAAGGGCGACCGGGGATGAGGGGATTCAGTTGCCAGATCCTGATGGTTACGAAACGCTTGGTGACGAATAATCCTCCGCTATCTCTTAGTTCGGGCGCCACTAAGGCACGGGCACATTATTTTGAAGCACGAGAGGCGAAAAATGTGCAGTGCCCTCGCCGGGACTCGAACCCTGGATCTCTCGAGTACACGTTCAATATGCTTCCAGTTGCACCGTGAACTCATGCGGAAAGAAGGAAAGAAAAGTCTTTATAAACTAGGACCCTCACAGAGCTATTGAAATAACCAGATGTCGGTCACCGGTTACCTCCATGGTGAGCAATCTGTTACGCAATTTGATTTGGAGAACAATTTTCTTTTGGTTATGTAAATTAAAGCAGTATTCAAAGCAGGAAATAGGAAAGCACTCTGAAACAGAAACAGCAATGCTTATATTTATATTATTCTTATATTTCGACTGCAGTCAATGGGAAAAAGACGATCAATGTCTATAACCTTAACTTTATGATTTAGCAGTTTAATGAATGATTTAACAATGTTTACATATTCCAGATAATGTACAATTAAATTACATACTGTTACATACTGTTATGGATAAAAACAATGCCTAAATACTGTGATATCACCTGCTATCACTGCTGTTATCCACCGAATTTCTTCTCCTTTTTGTCCTTCCTGCAAAAAAATGTGCTTTATTCTGATGGTTTGTGTACGTAATTTCTCCATTTAAAGCTCTGTTAATCCGCAACCCAATTAATTCGAAGTTAATTGTTGTTCGTTTGGGATATTGCTGGCCAAAGAAGATGCCAATATTTCAAATACAATTTGTTAAATTGTATTTGAAATATACGTGCATTGAATGATTACATATCATAGTTCCCCAAAATAATATGTAATCAGAATAGGAAAGTAAGCTCGAGCAGATATTTCTAAATGCCCATAATATAAGCTGTACCTCAAAAATAAGCTGTATTTAAATATCGTCAGACAGACAGATTGCCGAATTAAAAACTGAAGTACAGACTCAACACATGAATGAAGTTGATACTGAGCAGATCTACTTGTGACTTATATTTACAGTTCAATGGACATTCGTAATTAAGTATGCTGTGCATTAGAACGGAAGTAATTAATATACTCATGTGAAATAAAGTAACGTTTTCTGAATTTTTTACCTGAAATATTTTGGCACTTTTGTTACAGTCCATCATTTTTAACGTTTTTGTTGCAATTCATGTCTCGTGAGTCTTCAAAGGTTTAATGTCTAGTCCTTAAACCAGATGAGTGCAAAAAAAGAGTTGCTCCATTGTTAGCCATTTTGCTCCATCGGGAAGGAAAGCAAACAGCAGAATTTTATTTATTGTACATTAACAGCAATGATTTATATGGGAGAGAGAACTGACTATATGCACCGATGTTTAATAGGAGAAAAAATCGATTAATTTACAGCTGGTTTGAAGCACGAAGGGTGTAACACAGAGCTGCTACCTCTGGTAGTAACAACGGCTGTAATCCGGCGAGTCGAATTGAATTTAGATGGCCGATACACATACTTCATTCCCCGCGATTTCAATTCCATGTCAGACTTCGTCAAGCGCAATGACTGGCGAGTGTTTGCGTGCCAGTCTCTCATTGACCTATGACAAGGTATTCTTAGTGGGAGAGACATCTGGAAAATATGACAACCAGGGCGAAAGTCGAACATTCTCTGCATCGAAATTGTTTATGACAACAAGACCAGCAAGCGATTATGCATTATCCTTTCGAATTATGGAGTTATTCAGGCCTCGAAATTCAAGTACATCCAGCGGTCATGAAATACAGAAATGCAATAGTAGTTGTCCACATTACTGGCTATGCGAACAAGATGTGACCGAGATGTGTACCGAATGGGCACAAACTGCTGGACCAGGAAGTTGATGATGATTGATAAATGGCAACGTTCCGAATACATACACTCTAAAGACATAATAAAGAAAGAATAATACTATGAAAACGCATATTCCTTAACTGCTAAATGCCAAGCCATGCGTATGCTCTAAAGAGAAGACGGTCGGAACGAAATAGTTATTAAAACCTAAGCGATTCAGAAACAAACCAACGCTGGATATGCGAAGCAGTTTGCTATCCAACTTACGCTCAAGGATCTATACTTTTAAATAAGACGTGAATTTCAGTTCAGCAAACAGCATCTTTACATATCAAACAACCGTGGTATTTTAGCAAATGCGAGACGGTAACACAATCATTTGATATGCATGTTAATAACAGTATAACGGTTTTATGCTATGACCCCGTAAAACGATAATCATGTATGTATAGGAACCAAATGCAGAATGAAATTATCTACAGCAGTGAAACTAAGTTTCGATCGATAGTTTCTGCTTACAAGATTTGCAATATAAAAGCGGAATAGCAAATTTTCATTACATACTGTTGCGTGCATACGAGTTCGTAATAGATTGAATGTAAACAGAACAGATGATAACCTGATAAAATTTATTTTCCCAAAAGAAACACTTCACACTTCTGGAACTCTCCACAAAAATACTCCTATACGTCTTCACCGTATCACAGAGTAAAAAATGTAGTTGCACTTCAAACAACTAGTTAAACGCAACGCGATGCAAAGGGCATCTAAAAGGCGAAGCTCTCACTGATATTTCAACACTCCGAATTCAGCTCTAAGCAAACAACTACTACGAAACTGATGCTCTCTCCGGTTTTATATCATTTTTCGCCGGTCGCTGAGAAATCTCTAGTACTCCTCGAAATTACTGGAAGACATATGGGGTCGGATACGATTACAATTACATAAAGGATCAATTTTAGTTATTCATTTACAATACCCATTACAGTTATACACGGACCGTACCCGCATATCGTCAAGATGTTGCGACTTTTGGAGATTTCTCGCCAAATTTGGCGATAAAAATTAGTCGCCCAAACCGTCGCGAGCTTCGGGATATCTCGCCAGTCATTTACTGAAAGTTAAAGAGACTTGCCCCTGTACTTTTATTTTTCCGACAAAGCTTCGCCTCTTTAGATTTCCTATTACATATTACCAAACAAAATTCCCATATAATTTTATTAAAATCATTTATATATGTATAAAATTCGTAAAAATGTTATTAACAGCAAAGGTGTTTCTCAGCTTTAGTTCTTAACCTTTTCCCGTGGGCTATAGGGGCCAATTTTGAACGTTTTATGGCCATTTAGTCACTTATTTTAAATGAAAGGAACAGAAAAACAAATCGACAGGGTCTTGCACTTCCTAATCCATATTAAAGAGTAAATTTTACATCTCCATAGTTTACTGAAATTTCTTGAGACACATTTAAAGTAGTGAAAGTGCGGGACATATATGTCCCAGCCCCCTGGAAAAGGGGGTATATATATATAAAGTTCAGTCTCATAATAACATAAAGAAAATGTTTGTTTACCTCAGAATTCAAGAAGCAATACAACACAGCGACGAAAAGGCCCTGAAATTAAAAAAAATAGTTTTCAATACGAAAGAAAAATATTGAACTAGAAGGAATATAATATTGGTAAACAATAAAATGTACAAAGTAATATTTATCAAGTGGAATAAATACTTGTAGATGCTAGGCGAATATATCAAACAAGGCTTAATATAATTCACAGGTGATTTATTTTAGAGGTTGCCTTAGATGATATGTTTAAATTAATCAAATTTTAATTTGCACTTAATAAAAAGTTCAATAAATTCGATTTTAAGTTGCTGCTTAGAAAATAAAACTAAAGAAAACAAGGACCGGCTTGAAAGACTTAGCAATGCTTAAAAAAATAGTCATACTCACCTAATATTTGTTTTAGAAACAACTTTTATGGCAAACTTTCGAAATTTCTGTGCTACATTGCTAATATATGGGTTACACTCGAAGTTCTCAAAAATATCTGCCAAAAATTAAAAGGCAGGTAGAAGAGACTTGATTTTATACTTTTACCCAAATTTACAATGACAGTTTATGCCAGCTGAACGTTTTTATCGTTCGCTCAACAGTGCTCTGTACCACCGGCCAGGCATTTTACATACCACACCATACTGGCCAGGCATTTTACACAGGCTGTTCGCATATTTTTAGACGATTTTCATTGTATTTACAGAAATATTTTACCTAAAATTTCTGTATTTTAAATGCTCTACTTGATAACACTTATTCTTCACTGTCTTTCTTCAGCGTAAATTCCAAGAAAATGCCGCATTTAAAGTATCGGAAAAGGTATTTTCTCTCATTCCTCTTGAACCGCTTTCCGCAGTCCAAGGAAGGTTGTGGGTCAACGTTTGGACAATCCGCTGTTTAAAAGTCCAAAAGTGCAAAATCTGTGAGTGACACTGTAGAGACATCAGGTTATTTTTGAAACACGAACAAGTGAAAAATGAGCAACGCCTTCGCCGGGAGTCGAACCACGGACCTTTGGAATACGCGCCCAGCATGCAGACCAGTACACCACGAAGGTACGCTAAGAAGGCGGGAGGAATACATTATATATTCCCCCGTTTTATAGGGCAACTGGGGTTTTAGGGGACTCAATCGTCAAATCCTGGGTGTTGAGAACCCTCATCCACTACTCTTTTAGTTCGGGCGCCACTGTAGAGACATTAAATATTTTTCTGAAAAGCAGGAAAAATGAAAAATGTGCAACGCCTTCGCCGGGAATCGAACCACGGACCTCTGGACCAATACATGCCCAGCGTGCAGACCACTACACCACGAAGGCATGCTAAGAAGGCTGGAGAAATATCTTATAACAAATCAGGAGATTTTATAGGGATATCAATACCCGTTTACCTTGATACCCGTTTTTTTCTTCCATTTAGGGGTCACTCACTTTATTTTTTACTTGCCGTTATATGAAAAAGTCTTTTCGAAACTTTCCTTAGATTCTTTGAAGCATATTATAAGACATTTTTCTCCTCTATGATCATAATAATAGGATCGTTTTTATTGCAGTCTTAAATACACCCAAGATTTGTCCATTGTGACAATATTTTTCCATTTTTATCCTGATAAATGTTTCTCATAAAGAACTCTGCAGCTGGTTCTGGGTTCGGCGTTATGTTGTGGAGAAAGACGATGCACATTATACTTTTTGCTTTTTTAAGGTTAAGATCAGCATTAATCACTTTGTTTGTAGTTGGCACTGGGCATTTTAATGATTTTGAAACTGCCTTTTGACTTCGTGTACTTTCTTTTAACATTAAATAGTTTACCTTTGCAACATTTGAAACATTCCGTTTTTTACCTTGGATATGGATTAGGGACAAATTTCCCACTTGAAACCAAACTTTGTCGTTTTTTTTTTTTTTTTCTCCACAATATTACCTATCCCAGCTTCAGATATCGAAAAACCATGGCTTTCACAGGGATTTTTAATAAATGGATGCCAATAATTTTCTTCGGAAGGAGCACATAGCCTTCCATCCATTGGTTCTTCAGAAGCATCATTCTGCATGAAAACAAAACTATCAAGTATCAGATGATAATTTATAATTTCAAAAATTATAGTCACAGTTAAAAAAAATTTCAAAGCAGACAATTTTTTTGCGCGAAACAAATGCGCGAACAACATCTGTGTATACATTCCATTACAAATTATAGTTGATCCGTTCTCTTACATTTTTGCCAGATATTTAGCGAGTACCCTATGTATTAACTATCTTAAATCACTCGATACTGGCCAGATATTTTACACAGCTGCATTTCTCGCAGCATAAAACAGGTAAAATAACATGCTAGAATGTCAATCCCTCATAGTAAACAGCAAAAACTTTCAATTTTTTTTTAAATTTTAAATCTGAATAAACATGCCAATGATTCTGTTATTTATTTCTGTACACTTTGTCATATCAGGTTTCAAATTAATACTTTTATTAAAATTTTAAAAATTAATATACCAATAATATTTGCCATTTCCGTCTTGTAGTAGTATTTGAGAAGCAATGGACCTTCATAGGGTCCTACTACTCAGACATATCCAACTAAATTATTTTTAAACACATTTTATGTTCACATTAGAAACGTAAAATCTGAATGTAAGATCTGAAATTACAGTAAAAATCATAGATTTACCAGAACTTCAAATTTCATGTAATTTTCTCACGTATCAACAAAATTCTTTCCTTAATTCTTAAAGAATTTATTCCTGACTTTAATTCTTGGAGAATGATGGCATATCTTGTTGTGTAGTTTGAGATATATCAACCAAACAAAAACAGCGTTAGAATTTTGCATCAAGAAACACGAATCTGATATCCGAAAAGGAGAAATAAAGAAAAATCTTCGATAGCTTATCATAATTAAAAATTTAATCACAATTTTGACTTGGGTTCTGAGAAAATTATGCATAAAACTTCTCCACTTAGTAATTTAGATTCTGTTGAATTTTTTCCCATTCGCAAAAATTTATCATTTCTAGTTATCAGGTTCAGTGTTCCTCCTTACTTGCTTTGGGAACATTAACTGTCCTGACTCGGAACAGGGAGCTTACTAAAGCTATGTTCAATAAATTTGGGAAGTAGACAAAACACACAGGAAGGGTATAGGAAACCCTTTATTTTTCTCTCTTTACAATGATTTCCGGACTTCGGAATACAGAGACCAACCACTTGTGGTCTGAACGTAAGAATATAAAAATATTAACTAAACTCTAACTAGACTTAACTTTGGATTAATCAAACAAGTGCCTACTCCAAGATTGGCCGTATATTAGCAAAAAGCCGTATGTAGTACAGAGAACTGTTAACACTACGATACGTTTAAAATTATCAAGAGGATTAAACCTCTGGCCTTGAAGGCAACCAGCAACCGAGTAAAACTGCTATGGCAAGCGGCCTGCTCCTAATCACTCCTTCCTCTCTCTTGCTTGGCAAAAAGCCACAACTTAAGTACTTGGCGTTCGCAAGACAAATTTGCATAAATAAGTTAAAGCTTTTAATTCTGGCCGGAAGTAGAAAATAAGAAGTGATAGTAAAGATTTAAAATAAAATAAACGTTAGTAAAACTTAAGATCCTTACATAGTTAATGACATCAATTCTAATCTAATTCTTTTAACGCTTTTAGAACTCTAAAGCTTAAAGTTTCTGCGTTTCACTAATGTTTTCTTCGACAGATGGCGTTACTTTTTTTTTTTTTTCGGTTTACTATGCACGTCCAGTACTTTCGATATAAGTCGTCACTCTTTCCCTTTTTTTAGAATATTTCTCTCCTGAAAAGGAGAGATCTGTTTATGGTCGCCCTCGAACCCAGATTTACGCAAAAAAAAGTTTACTGTTTTGCCTAATTGTGTACATTTTCTACTGCTACTGAGAATTTATTTTATTTCTGTGTTCTTAGAGTTACAAATAATGAAGGGAAGATCGAATAATTCAGCATCTACGGAAAAAAATTAAATCCAGAGGGAAGATTTCCACCAACTTAGAGAATAAAAACAGATTTCTTCTGCTTCTGTTAAATCTCTTGATTATTTAACCTTAACCTGTCTGTACAATCTAAAGGAAGCTTTTTTTGTTAATTTACTTTCTTGGATGGACAAGATGAATGTTCTTGAAATGCATGTTTAAAGAATTAAAAAAAAAAAAAAAAAAAAAAAAAGGAAAAATTTCAAGAATTAGTATTTCTTGGCAAAGTCCGCTTTAACTGAATTTTATGCGAACAAATCAGAAGTCACTAAATCCCTGTATAAATTTTCTAGGGTAGATTACACGGGGATAGAAATACATTTGTAAATACGGTGCCTAGAAACTAGTACATGTATACAATTTAGACTGTAAAGCACAACGGTTATATTAATACAATTTCGCTTTGAAAAGCTATTTTGTAAGGTAATATTCTTGAATGGATAGATTTAATCAGAAACTGACTCACTTGCGAGGACTGGAGGACTGCGTTGACGAGCATGTAGATGTGTTCTAAGTTGGCCTCATCTCTCGGATTGATACAGAAAAGGAGATGCGTTATGCCCAGAAGTGGGAACAGAAGAGCAGTAGCCTTCATAGCCTTCCTAAAAGAAGAAATAAATTGGTACACTATTTGTTAATTTTCAAAAACGATTTTTGTATTGATTCCAATAATTTCTTCTCAAGGATGAGACAGACAGAAGAATGAAAAAATAAAGTTCTTGATTTAAAAACCTCCCCTGCCCATCACCTGCCATTACACGACTATTTATGAGAGTGATCTTAATAGATAATTATGTTCTCTAAAATGAAGGCCTTCAGAGAAAATCAGAATTTTCTGGAATAAAACCTATCTAACATGTAGCGTTTTTAAAGAAGTTTTATAGCATTTAAAGAGTTTTCTGACAGAAAATTATTTAAAAGTCGCAGTTAACATCTTCTTTGCGGTGCCGAAAAATCCAGTTTCAAAATCTAATCCAGTTTCTGCACTCCAGGATTTTAAGTGATCCCATGCCACACAGATACTATACACTTACAAACATCCGTTTATTTTCCGAGATTCGAGGAGCGGCCATAAGTGCTGCAGTCAACGTCGCTAACTAATATAACGATTAGGGCGGCAACGCTGTTGACATTTGGACGTCAATGAGGACAAGTTTCTTCTTTCAGTATTGAAATAAGTTATCATATTTTATTCAGTAAGGTCTTTAAAACTGTCGCCAAATAAATTTTTCGCCAAATGTCATTAATCTCTCATCCCCAATTGAAAATTAACCAATTTTTAGTTTGTCTCTACGAATTTTATTAAGGGAGTTCTATATGTTTAAAGCGCCTTCAAAGAATTACTGATTAGATAAATGACCATAGAAACATAAAGAGCGATAATAATAAATTTTATGACTCCATAAAAGCGAATAAAAAGCCGTTCATTATGTTTCTATAGTCTGAACCTTTGAAACAGACACCTCAAGGCATTTTAGACATTTTCAAATTTGGTTTTGTAACACATGTATTCATCTTTATACAATGTTTGATTTGAGACTGTAGTTGAAGTCAGCCTTCCTTCGAGCGCTTTTTACGAAGCGAAACGTGCTAAACGGAAATCAAGTTGGGGAAAAAGAAATAGAAGACTCTCTTATGCAGCTGTCCTTACCATGGTTACGAGCGGATGAAAATGATCCTGATGTGCCTGTTCAAACGAAACAGGCTACGAAAGATTTTCATTCACAGAGTTTAAAAAACGTGAATAATATATTCCAAACAAATTTAGAAATAAATAGACACAAATACATTTTAGTAAGAATCGGATTTTAAAATTACAGGCAAGAATTTTAAATACAAAAAAATTACATTTTGTATAATTCGCAGACTTCTGAAGGATTTGTGAATAAAAGCAAAGAAGACGACTGTATGAAATCTAACAGAAAAAAAAAAGTCTATTTATATAACACAGGAATAAATCATTGCTGAAAAGACGAGAAAAATCCTTCATTCATTTCATGGAAGAAATGTTCTAATATTTCTGAGTGAAAGGTACGTTTATAACAGCAATGGGAATACAACGCCTTGTGCACAAATGACTTGCTTTCGATTTGTTAGCGACTGAAATGTGGATGTTAAATAACAGACTTCGGATGAGCAATTTTTGGTAGTTTATTTCCTTTTTTTGCAATTCAGCAATTTTCATAAAACGAGTCTATTTAATACGAATAAAAAACGGTTAAAAATCTGAAAGCTTTCGGATTTTATGTTATGTCCAAAGAGGCGTATTTTAACGATTTGTGTGATATTTGTTTTTATTAAATATCATGTTAATTTGTTGTTTTATTAAATATCAATATCACACTTAAACCACATAAAATTCAATTCAACAGTAATATCACAAAATACTTATAAACAGCATATCTTTAGAATTTCTGAAAAACAGTCTAGTACGCTGGAGATAAAAATGTTTTTTTTTTTTCCCGTAGAGTGTTGCTACTATAAATTAATTAAAACCTAAAACTAAAAAACTAAGGAATTTGAAGTACAGAAACAGTAATACTGAATGAATATAAAAGTGGTGGCTAAAATTGTGGACACTTTTGGAAATTTTTATGTTTTTGAACTTTGTATGTTTATAGAAAATGTTTACGTTTCGCAAAATGCAAACTTGTATATATCATTTTAAAGAGAATTTATTACTGAATTCAATACAAAACACAAAACTCAATTATTTGCAATACAAGAAAGGTTATATGTACTTTAATATAAATAAAAAACACAGTTTTGAAGTGGTTTTTTAATGTCTAGCTTTCCTGGCCAATCACTGTTCTTGTTCTGAGAACCAATCAAATGTTAGTAACTGCCAGTAGAAGCTGACATCATGTTTACACTTGAAACAATTCATTATTTTGCTTTGTTCTGTAGGAGGAGGACCTGTTTCTTATACGCTGAAATTACAAGTAGGAACTTTTGTAAAAATTTTTAATATTTAGTCAAGAAGCAATGACATCAAATAAAAGAGTAGATTGGACACCTAGAAAGAGAAGTAATATTATTGTGTTACGAGAAAGTTGTCTTTCCTATGCTGAAATTGCAAGACAGCTGGGTGGTTCAGTGACTACATCTGGAGTCCGAAAGTTTTGTTTACAATATCAAGAGACAAATTCAATCAAAAACAAAGAAGGAAAAGGCCGAAAAAGGTGCACCACATCTATTGATGACAGAAGAATAAAAAGACTATGTCTCCAAGATAGAAAAATGTCATCAGCGGCCATCAAAAGTGATCTGAATGATGCTGGTGTTTCTGTCAGTTCAAGAACAATCAGGAGAAGATTAACAGATGTTGGACTGAGCGGTAGAATTCCACGAAAAAAGGCTTATCTTAATTTTCAGCAACGAAAAAATGACTACTGTGGGCAAAGGAACACATTAATTGGACAGATGATCAGTAGTCAGAAGTTATATGGAGTGATGAAACTAAGATATCGTTATTCGGTAGTGATGCACGAAAATATGTAAGACTTAGAATAGGGAGAAGAGCTACATCCTGACTGCATTCAAGCAACTGTGAAGAACCCAGTTAGTGTTATGATTTGGTCATGCATGTCAGCAGATGATATTGGTCGCCTTCATGTCATCGATGGGACATTGAATGCCAGAAAAAACATTGACACTATTCTAGAACTAAAACTTCTACCTTCCATCGAGATCTCTTTCCGAACGATGCTTCGTTTATTTTTCAACAGGATTCTGTTCCTTGCTACACGGCCAAAATATCGAAAGAGTGGTTTCGTACAAAGAGCATTAAATTGTTGTCATGGCCAGGAAACAGTCCTGACCTCAATCCTATCGAAAATTTGTGGCACCGTTTGTAAACTCTTGTCCGAATGAGGCGCCCATCAAATAAAAGGGAACTAATTGAGGCTATAATTGTTTCCTGGCATCATGTAATAACGAAAGAAGAGTTTAAAACTCTTGTCAGATCAATGAAACGTCGATTTGAAGCTGTATATCAAAAATAAAGCGTACCCTACTAAGTACTGATAACTCACTGCAATCATCACTATCTAATGTATATCGATAACTATTATTGTTTAACTTTTTTGTATTGCAAACAATTGAATTTTGTGTTTTGTATTGAATTCAGTAATAAATTCTGTTTAAAATGATATATACAAGTTTGCATTGTGAAACGTAACGTTTTCTATAAGCATACAATGTTCAAAAACGTAAAAATTTCCAAAAGTGTCCACAATTTTGGCCCCCACTGTATATATTTTCTTTTGCCTGATATTGCAGATTTCTCTAGACCATTACTTCTACACATATGATGCATTTTATTGATTTCTCCTTATAATGCATTAAGAAAACCAACATGTTTGAAAATATCTACTGTCGTTAAGTCACAATTATTCATTTGAATTACTACGATGACCCATTTTTATACTACGGTGATTTGTTAATGACAAAATTCAAGTCTTTAATGGGCATTCAAACAATTTTATTATCTGAGATTGATTTAAAAGGTATTTTTGAATTTTAGTTCATTTTTAGAACCATTCTGTAAATAAAAAATCCACTTTATTATAAACAGAGCAACTAACTAAATAGCATTCGATGTACAGACAAATCAATAAAGAAACGAATATTTGTTCATGGATAAGTAATTTAAAGATAAATATAGGAAGATAAATTAAAAACACTCGAATATATTTATTGAATGCATTTAACTTATGGATAAATAAAAACATGCGACGGAATGGCCTATATCCTAAATCAGTTTTCTTCAAACTTTGTCATTTCGGAAAATCCTTAAAATTGTAACGTTTTTGGAACCCCTAAAACTATAATTTTCTTTTGTGGAACCCATAAAACTAAGATTTTCTTCGGTGGAACTCTAAAAACTATACTTTCGCAGAACCACTGAAACTCTAATATTTTAAGGGGATCTCAAATAACTACAATTTTTTGGACCCCCTAAAACTATAATCTTCTTTCGTGGAAGCTTTGGAACTACAATTTTTACGGAACTTCTGAAACTATAATTTTCTTTTTTTGGGAGGGGGACCCATAAAACTATAATTTCTTTTGTGGAAATCTTAAAGTAATAATTTTCTTTTGTAGAAGAACTGAAACTCTAATTTTTTGTGGAACCCTTAAAAGTACAATTTTTTGAAACAGATAAAATTTTTATTTTTTTTAGTGGGACCTATGAAACTACATTATCTTTGTGGAACAATTGAAACTATAATTTACTTTGTGGAACCATTGAAAATCTAATTTTTTGTGGAATCCCTAAAACAATAATTTTCTTTGAAAAACCCTGAAACTATAATTTTCTTTTGCGGAACTCTTAGAACTATACGTTTCTATTTTGAAACCATTGATTCTATAGTGAAACCACTGATGTTTTGTGGAATTCCTAAAATTACAATTTTTGGAAACCTTGAAACTACAGTTTTCATTGTAGAACGCCTAAAACTATAATTTTCTTTTGTGTAACACTTAAAGCTTTAATTTTCTTTTATGAAAAAATAAAACTATAATTTTCTTTTATGGGGCATATAAAACTTTAATTTGCTTTTGTGAAACCATTGAAACTCTATTTTTTTCTGAAAGC